ATGTATCTACGGAGAACTATCGACCTAAGCGACTGGGCGACGGTAAAGCGCAGGCTTTTGGAGCGGTTCGACAAAACAATGTCGCAGAGTCAATTGTTAACGGAGTTGGCTAAAGTACGGTAGAATGATAACCCGAAGGAATACACGGACAGGTTTGCGGCTGTAGCGGAGTGTAGTTTGGGCGTCGCCCCCGACGAACTCGCTGACTACTACTGCACCGGGCTACCGACGGACCTCTATCTTTAATCACCATAACGAGCAGGTGGAGTATCAGTCGTGGGAACAAGCGGCGATAGCTGCAACACGCCTCTATGGGCCCAAGCAGAGCATGCTGGAGCTCCGAGAAAGTACAACTCGAGCCATCAGGGCTGCTATCCAAGCTAATGGACCCCATCAGCGCCAGGAAATCGAAAATGGACATGGAGGAACCCACGCGAACTGCTATGAGTGTCAGGGTCGCGGACATCCGGCACGTGTCTGTCCCAGCAAGGGAGAATGTACCAAACGTCTGGGGGAAATATGCAAGAAGTGTGGCGGTGCGGGACACTATGCTCGAGACTGTCCTACGTACGAACGAGGCCGGACCAAGCCGGAGGACAAGAGCAGTAGGCAGCCCGCACGTCCTAGCACTGAGAAGACGAAACGATTAAACAAGGGGGCCTAGGCGTGCTTGGAGACGAGCATCCTAGGCCGCGAATCCATGGCAAAGGGATAATGCGTGCGGTAGCGACAAGCCCCAATGCCATTCCAGCCTCCCTTGAGTGGAGAAACCAACCGCTCAGCACTGCGGAAGGAATTAATACGAGCAATGGGCACGCGGAAGGGACTCAGCCGCTTTTGGAAACGCGGTGGGAGTCTGGGTCGGCGTCGTTCCTGAGTGAAGAGGCTCTGGGAACGACGACGGCTAGCAGCAGGAAGTCTGCAGAGGCAACAGAAGACGGCTACAGGCCAGACGCAGATGCCATTCCGATAACCCCTGATTTCCCACTACCGCCCATTCAAACTATTCTTGAGATGCTGGGAGGCGCCAAGTACTTTTCCACTTTGGACCTTGAAGCAGGATTCCATCAAATACGTATGGCTAAAGAATACCGTTGGAAGACGGCTTTCCGTTCCGTTTTCGGGCTTTTCGAGTACCGCGTAATGGCCTTTGGCCTTAAGGGTCCTCGAGCTACGTTCCAGGCCAGCATTAATGCCTATCTACAACCTTTATTAGGAGAGGGCGTTATTGCGTACCTAGATGATGTACTTAACTATAGTCCCAATCTTTCTGGGCACGTTTCTCTCCTGCGAAAAGTCTCAAGTATTTTTCTTAGACATCAATTCTACTCAAAATTCCGCAAATACAAGTTTGCAAGGCAAACAATTTAACATTTGGGTTATACCATTTCTGCTGCGGGGATCAAACCTGCAGAAGACAAAATCGAAGCCATATGGCATTGGCCAGAGCTGCTGGAGAACGAGACGCAGGTGCGCATGTTCCTCGGTACCATAAATTACTCTCGTATGTTCATGGGACCGCGCCGGCGTTGTTGGCAGCCCCAATCTTAGGGTATTCTCGGGCATTTCTAGTTTATGCATGCTAGTTTGCTAATAAATTGCTTTTTTATTTCACTAGTAAGAGGTTACAGCGCTCAATCCGTGTCTTAACCGCTTACAGGTCATCAGTTAGCTATCCTCTATAGGTCACCAGCAAGCCCCATTGTAATGCCTGCGCACTACAACTTCCCGCCTTGCCGGACTAAACCGGCCTACCCACAACACAGTATTTCTACCTTTTCAGTCTTCATTCCCTTCTGAAGCTAATGCCGTGAGCGCATGCGGTACGCAGCGCTTCCTCACCCCCCTCGTTATTGAAGACCGCCGTGTGGCGGAAGTTGACGGACCCACACCGCTACGCCTCGGAAGGACCAAGATTGTTTCGAGCCTGAAGACGTCTTCGTTGGCGGCGGCGCCAAGCGCGAAGCAAAGCCTGACATCCTGATAGGTGGTTAGCGGGCTCCCAGATGGCTTGATCTTCGGGGGTGCCGCTCCACTTGACGAGGTACTGGGCGTAGGCACCTGAGCCGCGTTGGTCCATAGTATAATCGCCCCATACTCCTCTGTTGGATTGCCTGCTTCATCGAGGATAGGGGGCCAGGCGGTATCAGCTTCCTGGGGAACCAAGTCTGGAGGGCGGGGGCGATGGGGAACTAGCTCCGGAACATGAAAAACGTTGTGGTATTCATAAGTAGGGGGTAAAGCAAGACAGCAAGCGACGGTGCCTATTCGTTCAATGATTTTAAAGGGTCCTCGGTAACGGGGCTCGAACTTAGGACAGCTAGATGAAGCCGGTAGATGCTTGCTGCTGAGCCAAACCTTGTCGCCCACTGCATACTCCATAGCTTGGCGCTTTGTGTCTGCGTAATATTTCTGTTGCCATTTTGCCTTCTGTATCTGGCTCTGCGCTCTGTCGCAGAGCTGCCGGAAGAGCTCAGTCATTGGAGGAGTGAGCGTAGGGGCTAACGCTCCTACGATATCAAGATTCGCAGAAGTCAACGGATTCTCGCCAATAATGACCCCGAAGGGAGAGAGCTCGGTGGCTGAATGACTTGTTGTGTTGTGAGCAAGTTCCAAGGCCGGAAGCAAACGCTCCCACTCGCGTTCGTCAGATTGGATGGAGGTACGGAGCATGTGCTCGAGTGTGCGGTTAACCCGTTTAGTTTGGCCGTCGCTTTGGGGATGGTAGGACGAGGACATGCACCGTTTGATGTTAAAGCGGCTACAGAGTTGTTGCCAGAGATCCGACTGAAAGCGGGGATCGCGGTCCGATATGAGCACCTCTGGAAAACCGTGATCGCGGTCTGCGAGAAGCTCCACGGTGTCTGCTGCTGTGATTGACCTCTTTGCAGAAACGAAATGAGCCATCTTGCTGAGGGAGCCGACCATCACGAGAATCGAGTCGTGCCCTGTCGTTTTAAGGGGAAGGTCTGTGGTAAAGTCAAGACTCACGTCTGCCCACCGGCGAGAAGGGATGAGTAGCTGCTGAAGAAGGCCTGCAGGTTTCTTGTTAAGGGACTTTGACGCTCGACAGTGTGTGCATGATTCAACATAAGCAGTAGTGTAGGCGCGCATTCCTGGCCAGTAGTAGTGCTTGCTGAGAGCCGCAAAGGTCTTTTAATGGCCTCGATGGCCGGCTGTGACATGGTCGTGATGTGAATGCAGAACTTGAGTAAGGAACTCAGGGAATTGTGGCTATGAAACTCTATTTGCACAGCTTCTCCTGGTTGGTTTGCTACGGCTGTGTAGGGAGCGCTAAAAACGGGACACTTCGAGTAAGCTTGCGGCCATTGGCGCACGTCAGGAGGGTCACCTGGTGTCTTCGTTGTAGGGGTAGTGTGTTCCACCTCTGGATTGGGTTCCGGCGGCGAAGGTGAAGGTGCGGACTGCAGGCTGCGTCATCTGGGTCGTCGCGAACGAATTCCTGCGAGCTCCCTGTAGTTGGCAGAGCGAGGAGCGGCGCGCGCTTGTTCTACTGCAAGCATCAGTCGTGTCGGTAGTGTGTCGTGCGAGCAGGTGTTAGGAAGACCGGGAAGGCGAGACAAGGCATCAGCCAGTTGACTGCGCGCTCCTTGAACATAGGTGATGTGCAAATCCAGGAACTCGGCCAGGAAGTCTAACCACCGGGCGGTGCGTCCGCGCAGAGGCTTCGATGCTTGGACTCGTTGGAGATGCTTGATAATCAGTGTAAGCCATTACCTTGGAAACACGGAGCAAGTGTGACCACTGGTTCAGGGCCGTGACCCACGCCAAGAGTTCCTGATCGTAGATCGAGTATCTCTGTTGTGTAGGGTTCATGACTTAGCTGAGGAAGCCGATGTGCTTGCCTTTTTGTTCCAGAACTGCTCCAATCGCATAACCAGAGGCGTCCGTGTATAAGTCGAAGGGTTTCGTGGTGTCAGGGACTTGTAATGTAGTGAAGTCGATTAAGCGCTGTTTGAGCTGCCGCACCGCTTGCGTGTGAAGCTCTGTCCATTCGAAACTGACGTCTTTACGCGTAAGATCAACCAGTGGCCGGGCAACGTCTGCATAGTCCGGTCCCATGAACATGCGACAGTAATTGATGGTACCGAGGAACTGGCGCACTTGCGTTTCGTTCTCCAGCAGCTCTGGCCAATGCCGAATGGCTGCGATTTTATCTTCTGCAGGTTTGATCCCCGCAGCAGGAATAGTATAACCCAAATATGTAATTGTTTGCCTTGCAAACTTGCATTTGCGGAATTTTGGGTAGAACTGGTGCCTAAGAAAAATGCTGAGGAATTGTCGCAGGAGAGAAACGTGCCCACAGAGATCGGAACTATAGATAAGTACATCATCTAGGTACGCAATAACGCCCTCTCCTAATAAAGGTTGTAGATAGGCATTAATGCTGGCCTGGAACGTAGCTGGAGGACCCTTAAGCCCAAAGGCCATTACTCGGTACTCGAAAAGCCCGAAAACGGAACGGAAAGCCGTCTTCCAACGGTATTCTTTAGCCATACGTATTTGATGATGGAATCCTGCTTCAAGGTCCAAAGTTGGAAAAGTACTTGGCGCCTCCCAGCATCTCAAGAATGGTTTGAATGGGCGGTAGTGGGAAATCAGGGGTTATCGGAAGGGCATCTGCGTCTGGCCTGTAGCCGTCTTCTGTTGCCTCTGCAGACTTCCTGCTGCTAGCCGTCGTCGTTCCCAGAGCCTCTTCAGAGT